GTTTTATGCTTTTATACTTCTACTGAAACTGCCCTTTTCCGGGCTTAAAGATCCTCTAATAGTCTCAAATAAAAGGACCTATTCAGCAATACCACTCCAAAAATAATAATAATAATAAAAAACAATAAGCCAATTCTTCCCTTGGTTTCTACCCTTTTCTATCCTTTCTTATTCCCAATCTCATGTTTTTTCATCTTAACTTTTATAACATCTTCCAACTGAATACATCATCATCTTATCTCCTTTTGTTTGGCTTTCTTGCTGTTATAAATGTAATAGAACATGCCTAGGAACATGTCCTTGGCCATAAAATTCTCCAAATCAGAGGCCTCCAGTGAAACCGTTGCTGCTGTAGACAGGCAGACAATATTCTCATCCTTGTAGCACGTGGGTTCTGTTTTGATACAACCTTTGATTTCTCTACAACCTGCTACCCCCCACCCTCTACACGTGTTGGCTATCATGTTCATGAAACAAACATAACTATTTGGGTGTTGACTTTGGCACAAAGTCAAGGCCTTGAATACTCTCCCTTCCCTTTGTTGTCTTCAAAGGTGCTTAGGACCTTTGAAAGTTACAAAAGAGTGGTGCTCACCTAGACGTCTTTCTCTAAGACGCTTCTCTGAGTATTGATGTACTATCTTCTCAGGTACAGCAGGCATTTATTATTGTACCACGTTTTTAATATTTCTTTTCTATTACCCTGTATGCCCTTCACAGGCAGACACTGTATTTCCTTTTTAGGGATAAGAAATTTTAGTTGTACATTATTTTTGTTTTTAGTTTTGTAAAGGATTTTATCAGGAAGCTTTGTTATGGTATACTGCGTTAGCCACTGAATAGCAATTTTTTCTAAATTAATTTAAATTCTTCTTGAAATTATAGATTTACTTTGGATATCCTTTTGCGTTGTTGATTTTTTTCTATGAACTATTTTAAAAATTCAGAGAAGTATACAGAATATCAAAATTTATTCAATCACTACCTTCATCAAATCTTCAGATTTTGCAAAAATTGATTAGGGTCAATTTTATTGATTGGTTGATGGATACAGGGTCTTGTCTCTTGCCCAGGCTAGAGTGCAGGTGGTCAATCATAGCTCACTGCAACCTCCAACTCCTGGGTTCCGTGGCTCTTCCTACCTCAGCTTCTCAAATAGTTAGACATTTTTTTTTAATGTTTTATAGAGATGAGGCCTCATAATGTTGCTCAGGCTGGTCTTGAACTCCTGGCCTCAAGCAATCCCGCTGCCTCAGCCTCCCAAAGTGCTGAAATTCCATATAGGAACCACCATGCCTGGCCTAGGATCAATTTTAAAAGAAGGAAAATACAAGAAACACATTATTAGGTACCCCTAAGTTCACATCTACAAGTTATTTCACTTCTTCTCCCCAAAGTGGTAGCTGCCATCATGAACTTGATGATTCTTCTTAAAGATCAGACCCTCTTCCAAGATTATCAGGTGCATTCTTTATTTTGCCTCTGGAGAAATTTATACAGAAAATCTCATTTTTGCATATTAGACTGTAGGTATTTCTAAAGCCAAGGTTTTAGCTGATAATTAATTTGAAATAACTCATGGAAGCTATTTCAAGGAAGAGCTGCTTACTCTTCAGAGTTCAATTTTGGTCTGCACTGAATCAGGGCTTTCTTCAAGTATATTTTCCCCCTGTGTTTGGCTTTGTTACTTCAGTGGGACTGTCCTGCACTTTCAAACCTGCCTTTGTCAATGGACATTTGGGTTCTGCCTTCCCAAGTGGCAAACGGCTTCTTGGGCTTCTTGTAAGAAGCAGGAGCAACGCACGGCCGTTTCTAATGTTGCTAAAATATTCTAGGAAAAAGGTAGATGTTTCACACAAATCATAACGAAAAGTGATTTGTTTATTCAAATATGCGGCAACTAGCACGTGACAGACATTGGACTAAGCATGATTTTGGTTAAAAAATGAAAAGAAATGACACAGTCTCTGTCTTTTTGGATGCTTGACTCCTGGTTGGGGAGACAGAGCAAACATAAAACATGAAAACAAGTACAGAAAATGGGAAGGCCTGGAAATAATGTCAAGTGTTAAACAGATCTTTAGAAAGAGACAAAGTATTAGAGAGAAAAACAATGAGAGAAGAGGACTTTCATTAGATGGGGGGAACAGTGTACACCTGCTCTGAAAAAAAGAACATTTAAGCTGAGACTTAAATTCAGAGAAGTAACTAACCAAAAATGGCAAATTAGGGGGTGGTGCCTGTGGCTTAGTGGGTAGGGCGCCCAGCCCCATGTACCAATTGTGGCAGGTTCAAACCCAGCCCTGGCTGAACTGCAACAAAAAAATAGGCAGGCATTGTGGCAGGTGCCTGTAGTCCCAGCTACTTGGGAGGCTGAGGCAGGAGAATCACCTAAACCCAGGAGCTGGAGGTTGCTGTGAGCTATGACTCTACGGCACTCTACCAGGGATGATAAAGTGAGACTCTGTCTCTACTAAAAAAAAAAAAAAAAATGGCAAATTAGAGGTTATAGCCACTCTGAAGGCTCCAGGTCAGGAGTAAACATGATCAGGACTTAAGAGAGTGACTCAAGATTCCTAGAATGTACAGACACCAAGGTTGCCACCAGGGTAAAAGTTCATGTGTTGTTCTGTGACATCCATCTGCCCCATGAACCAGAATATTGTAAAACACATTAATAAGACAATTCTACCCTGTTCTAAATCCACATGGGAAAATAAAGCATAACCAGAAAATACCGTGAACTGTCTTTCATGGATCAGTGTCGCAAGATCTAGAAATAGCCTGTGTCATCTCTGGTCTCCCCCTTCCCTTCCCTCCCATTCTTTTCCCTTCCTTCTCTCCTTCTCATACTGCAACCCAAATCGTGATGCAAGATTGAATTTTGGTTCTAGAATCCCACAGGGTTTGTCCTGTACCAAATATTTGTAGTCATCACGCTAGAATATTTCATTGGTCCACGATGGTTGTCCCCTGCTTCAACTTTACTGAAAGCCTTAAATCTCTTCCCCAAGGATCCTTTTTCCAGGCTCACATTCCATTGAATATTCATGGTCAGTGTTCAGCTTGCTGATTTTCGTTTTTATGAACTTCCAGAGCAGGAGAACATCTTCTCAAAAGCATTTGTGAAGTAAATAATCTAGGAACTCATTTCCTTTCCTCAAGATAACTTTGCATATCTAGGTTCTGAATCTTTGGGGCTTTCTTTGACTAGGTAGAGTTTGGAGGCTAACCTTTCTCTTTTTCCATTCTTAGTGGACATGATTTTATGGCCCATTCACTGATTAAGGCTCCTTTCCCCTTGATTTTCGTATAGTGCATGTTACTCACGCCCTTCACATCTGTACATTCACACCTTTGTCATCTCTTCTCTCTGACTTTACTACTTACACAAGGAGAATAATTTAGCTTCCCTCTATTAGAATGGAAACTACCTGAACATTTTAACTTCTCTTCTCTGGAACGTTTTAGATTAACGTCTATAGCAAGTAGAGTTTTATTCAATTTTTATTGAGTAAATGTGATAACATGATTAATTTGGTGTGAATAGGAGGAAAACAATGAACCTGGGTTTCATTTTCACGTCTTTCTTTCTGACAGCACACAGAATTTAGATTCGGGACCTGATACATACTTTGTGAGGCCCAATCAAAAGTGAAAATGCAAGGCCCTTTGTCCAAAAAATAATTTAGAATTTTAAAAGAGCACAAAGAGAACATTTCACTAAGCGCAGAGTCCTATGGAACTGTACAAGTTATATGAGCGTTATGCCCAGAAAGCTGACCGACCCCCTGCAGGTCTTTGGGGTTGGGGATAACCGGAAATAACTGTATAATTATATTTGGATTTAAAATTGCTTCTACACTAGAATTTCATAAATATCCTTTTAGGGAGAAATTAGTATCTAAAATAAAGTTGAGTGAACATATTTATTTTGGCTACTGTATTTGTACTCTGCTTATGACACCTAGGATGTAGTTAGCATTCAGTTTAAAATGTGTTTTTAAAATCTTTTTTATTTTTTATTCTTACCTTAGTAGCTTTATATCCAAGACATACTTTACTGTCTTCAATGGTTGTGAACTAATCTTTAGTATATTCTGAAAAATATTTCATGGTGTTGTTTGTGTAGAATTACAGATTTAACACTTAGTGGACAAGGGATTTAGCTCATGATAATAGAAATTAATCATGTATTGTTCCCCTACAAGAACATTGAAAAGATTTTTGTTTTTAAATCCTTTCTTTGAGCTTTCCCCCCATTACTATTTGGCTTTATTTAAAACCAGAGATCTAAGTCAGCTGACTAATAGGGCCATTCAGTTAATTGTAGTTAAAGTTGCTATGTTACATTATTTTATAATTCAATTTAATTCAGTCTTAGCATTTTAGACGTTCTTAAATGCATTTAGAAGCAAACTGATTTGGAAGTCATCCATTGTGGTTTGTCAAAGCATTTTACTTTTATGTCATTGAATAATAAAGCTTTTATATTATTATGTTTATTTATAGTGATTAGCAATGTATTTTTACGCTTTTTTAGAGAAGACTCACTGATTTACAATATAAACTGAATCTTCATCATTCTGAAATGCCATCTGAACTATTTAAGTTGGGACTGCACTAAATATCAGTTGGGACTGCACTAAAATATAGCTATACTTTATTTTTAGTATGGAGGACAAATTTATTGTAAACAAGTTCACTTAGGATGATTTCTAAGAAACTATCCCTGCTGAGCAATGTGTCTCAGAACAGGATGCCCAATATAGTGGTTCCATGTACGCATGCCGTCATATTTCTAGACACTTTGCATTTAAGATGGTGAGAAATTATGAAATGACTTAGCAATAGAGCTATTTTTGTTGGATGTGACGATTGACAGGAAAGTACAATGAACTGATAACGCATCTTTCACATCGTGCCACGTACTCAACCCTTGCTCTTCCTTTTGGCTCTTCCTATATAATGTCTATATTCCATCTCTTTTCTCGTGTCAGACAGTATTACTGAAGTCTTCACTAACATCTATGTGACCAGTTTTGGCCCTGTCTCAGATACAGATATGGTGAGTTGCGCATTAAATGCTATTTTTACTTCATGTGATGGGAGGTGGGGGATGGAAGAAACAAATGTTTTTTCTCTTCAAGAATCCTGTATCTGTCTCTTATCTATTTAGTGTATTGAAATACAAAAGAGGTCCAAGTGTTGACGTGTTTATAGACGTGGTGGCAGCCACAGCTCGAGTGTTTAGATCAGCCTTTTATGCTTTTATGTTTTGTAATCTTTCCAAAATTTGTCTACCTCGCAACAATGTTGTAAAACAACTGTTTAAATAAAAATAATCATAGCCTTGGAACACTTTTCTAGGGCATCAGAGTGGACTTCTACAAAGTCTACACAGTTTCACAGACAACTGAATGAGCTCATGGTATGTTATAAACACTTTCTGATTGACAGTGAGCAAGGTCAGTGACTGTCCTACTAGCTACATACATAGAATACATGTAACATAGAGTGTGTGCACAGATATAAATCAATCTAAAGAAAACTAAATTGTTCATATTCTTGGATTCCATGGAACTAATATTATTTATTTTTCTCTAAAACGAGATGGGTAGGGGGCCACCCATAAGTCAGTGGTTAGGGTGCTGGCCACATGCACTGGGGCTGGTGGGTTCCAATCCAGCCCAGGACTGCTAAATAAACAAATAAAAAAACCTGGGTGTGTGGCAAGCACCTGTAGTTCTAGCCACTTGGAAGGCTGAGGCAAGAGAATCACTTGAGCCCAAGAGGTGGAGGTTGCTCTGAGCTATGATAGCACAGTGCTCTACAGAGGGTGACAAAGTGAAACTGTCTCAATTAAAAAATTAAAAAATAATAAAACAAGATGGGTAGGAGACAAAAATCAGTCTGATATGTTAGAAACCAATAGGCTGTAATCACCAAAGACAATTCTCGATTAAGCATACAAATTTTAACAATCGCTTCTCCATTTTGATTATTAACTGTGGTGCTCTGTAATAGGAATTGTTGTTGAAACAACTTGTCATTCGTTAATACCCTGCCAGATTCTCCCACACCTCTAAGCTGATGCCTGCTTTGCTTTGCAGTCCCCTGCTGTGTCTCCTGTCCCTAATGCGTGTCTCCTGTCCCTAATGTGTGTCTCCTTACCATTTAGCCAAGTTTGAGTCTCACAATCTCATTCCCCTCTCGGGCATCCATCTCTCCAAGGATGCGTGGTCTTTAGAGATCTGTCTTCCTTACGGCCAACAGTGAGAATTTGAAGAGATGCTCTTGTCTCCTTTTTGGACCAGTCATCGCCTACCCTATATCTTCCCTCTTACTGGTAACCAGAGAAAGTTTGCAAGTTTGGAGACTTTCCACCTGGGTAAACAAACAAAACAAAAAGCAATCCCTTTTTTCCGGCTCTCATGAGCGTTGTTAGCCGATTTATCTGGCTCCTTCTGCCTTTCCCTGAGGAGATCAAAATGCACTTTCATCAAAAAACCCCTTTTCTTCCATCAGAACCATGTCTTTACTTCGGAATCCTTTTCTTATTTTGACCAGGAGGGTGAAAGTGAGAAGTGCTATGGGGTTAAGGGTGCTCCTCACCTCTGTGGGAGGCGGGGGTAGTTGATAATAAACATTGGCGTACTTTAAAGTGAGAATGTGAAGATTTAAATGCTATTTTTCTCCCCTTCGACTCTTGGCTCTAGGTACAATTCTAGACCAACAAGAAAAATACCACTCTTCAACGTAAACTCCCATCCCCCCGGCATTGTTGTATATTTTGACCTGAAATTCTGCTCTTTCCACTTAATGTCAATTTAAGTGGACAGGACCTTAAAAAATGACAGAGGCTTAGTAAGCAAGAGTGTGGATTCAGATGTTATTGGCTCACTGTAAAGATCATCTCGTTTTAGTAAATGCTCTTTGTCCCAGGGCAGCTTATCTAAATAAATGCTCCCAAATGTTAGGGAAATGCAGTGAGAACCATCCCCTACCTCGTGTAGAATCGGGTAGAAGGAGTTTGAGTTTTGTCAAGCACTACATTGAAAGGCTGGCAGAATGTTATGTGCAGTATAAATGATGACTCTTACATGACTTCCTCTGTGTCCCTTTTCCCCGTAAACAGAAACACAAGTGACATAGACCCTAAATATTAGTAAGTTTTCGGGGTAGTAGATTTCCTCATGTTGTGTACACAGCATCAGCATTAACAATTACTGCAAAAAAAAAAAAAAGTTACTGCATTGACACTTTTGCTTTTCTTGGCAAAGTGATTTAACCTAATTATATAAATAAAAATATTAATAATATACAAATAGATGATACAGATTTCTAGCAAAACATGTTTGGTACTTGGGGATTTTGCTAAAAATAGGAAGCCATTTGTTTACTGACAGTGATAGTGGATGAAACTGATTCTCTGCCTCCTCTTGTTTTAACCACGCTTTGAGATCACTAAACGTGTCTGAGAAGTTGGTAGCTGGTGTGAAGTGTGCAGTCATTAGCAGCAGAACAAATTTAAACCGAATTAATCTTATTAAACACATTTAATCTGAATTGAACTAAAAACACATGGTCTCATCCGTAAATTGAACCCGAAAACTTTAAAACATTTTAGCAGGCTCAAGATGTACTTTCTTCACCATAAATGATAGTAGCCATTAAAATGCTGTCACATGTGCAACTGTATAGAGATTGAATTGAGTTGAATGGACTTGCAGTTGATGACCTTTACATTAAAAATACTCACTTTGAATTTGTATTTTTATGTTTCAGAGTTCAGGTATGTATGCCTATTCAGGCACTCTACTGAATATGACAGAGTAAGACTGTCTTAAAAAAAAAAGAGAGAGAGAATATATGCACACACATTTACATAAATATATTCTCTCTCTTTTTCTTTTTATTTAAGAGATAGAGTTTTACTTTGTTGCCCTCAATAGAGTGCCATGGCATCACAGCTCACAGCAACCTCTGGGTCTTGGGCTCAGGTGATTCTCTTGCCTCAGCCTCTTGAATAGCTGGGACCACAGGCACCGCCACAATGCCCAGCTACTTTTTGTTGTTGTTGCAGTTTGGCTGGGGCTGGGTTTGAACCCGCCACCCTTGGTATATGCGGCCGGCACCCTTCTCACTAAGTCATAGGCACCACCCTATAAATATATTCTCAAAAATGAAATACATATTCAACACCTCAGTGGGCTCTCGAGAGGCTTGAAGGCCCTGGATATTTTCCCTAATGATCCATTTTCCTTAATGCACCTAGCCTAAAACATTCCTATAGATTTCTTTGGTCACATCAGATTTCCTATGTTATTCCCAGCCTTGATCATCTCCTTTACTCAGTCGTACCATTGCTGGTTTTGGAGGAAGTCTGATCAATCACAAAATCACCAAATGGGGACATAATATGTCAACAAATCTAGTTAGAGGACCGGACCCCTAAGCGTAATTTGAACAGGTAAAATCTAAAAGTATTGTTAACTAGTAAAAGGTGGTTAAATAATAATAACAACAACATAAAAGAAGGTTCTAAGCATACAGAATGTGTAAATGCTGACAGATCGTCTGCTTCTAGAGATCAGATATCCTAAGTCAGAAGGAGACTGAGTATTTGGGAGAAGGTCTGTGCCCCTCCAGGCCAGTGAATTCAGACCTCCGCTGAAGGCGAGCGGCGGCTTCAGGCACAGGCAGCTGCCAGAGGTGAACGAAGGTGCAAGGGTACCTGCTGGCGCCAGTCCATAGGAAGATTCTCCTGGTGGCTGGAAACTCATAGCATGCCCGTCGCTGAAAGCTGTGCCAGAGAACAAAAGTGCACTTGACCCAGAAAGAGAAGGAGAGAGCAATGTGCCTTTCTTCTGTTTCGACGTTGGAGCGTTCCTGCGGGACTCCTTTTGACAAAGCCTGACAACTGTGTGAGCTGGCAAAGGAGGAGGGTTTGCAGGGTCCCGTCCTGGGTCACACAGAGACGGAAAGGAGGGTGGTTTGCAATTGAGAGGCAATATGCAGCCTACTTGGGTACAGACTAGGGTTAGGGTGTGATGTAGGGGGATGCAGAGTGAGGAGCGGGAGAACATAGTTGGATCGCTGAACAAGCACCGTTTGATATTTGTCCAAATCTACAGAAGAAAAAGAAAATAGGGAGAATGAAAGTCAAATAATCTATAAATACATATACAACAGACACGCACACACACATTTTTTTCACATGGTAAGACTATTAGAGAACTTGACACTCAGTTCAAAGGCACATAAATGGCTGGATGTGGTGGCTCAGACCTGTAACCCTATACTTAGGGAGACCAAGGTGGGAGGCCCCTTTGAAGCCAGGGGTTGAAAACAAACTTGGACAACTTAGCAAGACTCTATTTCTAGGGAAAATAAAAACAATAGCTGGGTGTGGTGGCATGCGCCTGTAGTCTTAACTATTCAGGAGGCTGAGACAGGAGTATTGCTTGAGCCCAGAAGTTCGAGGCTGCTGTGAGTTGTGTTGGCACTGAAGCCTGGTGACAGAGTGTGACCCTGTCTTTAAAACTTTTTTTTTAACTAAAAAATATAAAACTTACATAGATTTTATGAAGAGAAATTATTGTGTCTTCACAATAATGTGAATTCCTTTGCTCCTTTTCCTGAGCAAGAGGAATTATTTCTTGATACTTCTTTGAATGGAGAGCAAGACAAAGAAATAAGAGAAGGTTTGAATTTCTGTTTGCTGTGTATGGCCAGGTCGAAAATAAAACTTGGCTGTGAAATTCTAAATAGAAAAAAATAATAATCATATCACGGGGAAAGAGAACACATCCATTTTATTCCTAACAAGTCAAAGCCGATATGGAGATATCTAGTTAATGTCTTATAAAAGCAGTTTGCTAATGAGAAAAAAGTAAAACATAAATTTAATTTTACTTTTAGTAGCTTAGCAGATACAATTTTATTTCCATGCATGGTGTATAGTCAGTAACAAAACCTACACCCCTAAGTTACCCTTTTCAGGCCAGTGATATAGATTGGTTGTGACATTAGCCTGAGAGGGGAAAAGCAGCACAGCAAAAGGAA